AGCACGCTCGGCGTTCGACTCGTTTCGCGCGCCCGCGGACCAAAAGTATGCCCACCAGCTTTACGGCGCGGCCCGCCCTAGCTTGCTCGACGTTCGACTTGGCTGTGCGCGCCCGCGCACTAAAAAATTACGCCCACCAGCCCATCCAAAAGCAGTCACCGGGCGAGCTGCCCTGATCAAGGACGCTTAGCAACATGCAGCCACGCTCTGGGAGCCTCTTGGGGCCTTCTTGGAGCCATGTCGGAGGCCTTCGGGGCTCTTTCGGGCCATCTTGGAGCTTTCTTGGAGCCATCTCGGAGGCCTTCGGTGCTCTCTTGAGGCCCTCTTTGAGGCCACCGGTCAAAGAAGGAGGAGTTCTGACTTACGGTCCCCCAGTTGCGTTCTTGAGGCCGTCGTTGGCCTTTCTTGGGCGATTTTTGAAGCCCCAAGAGACAAGCGGAAGCGAAAAGGCAAGAAGGCGAGAAAGCAAAACGCGTCGATACCCCCTAGGCTTGGGAAGTATTCGGGCCTTTCGGGGGGGTCCTTGGGAGGCTCCGTGGCCACCTGGGGCCGTCTTAGGGGCGGTCGTGGCACCTCTTGGGGGGCCATGATGGAAGCTATCCTAAACCACCTTGCACTATCGTGTGTGATCTTGGAGGCAATATTGGCTCATTCGGGCCCTGCTGGGGCCAGATTGAGCATATTGGACGTTCGGACATCTCGCGGCGCGCCCCGCCGTCCCCCCTCCCCCCAGACCCAAGGAGAAGGAGCAGGGATAGAAGTCAAGACTCCCTCCCCGCCCGCAAGCTGTCCCGCTCACTCCCGCCCGCCCTCCCAGCACGTCCGTAGCACCCGAGTCTGGCCCGAGCCTCAGCATATTGAGCAGTCGTCGTTGGATGGGCAGCCACTGGGGGCCAATCCGCCGCCGCCGCGCCGCCCGCCGCCACCGCCGCCGCCGCCGCCGCCGCAGCCGATGCCGCCGCCGCCGCAGCCGCCGCAGCCGCCGCCGCCGTCGCGCAGGGATGGCGGGGTGAGGCCGCATCGGGTTGGCTGCGCATGCTCTGAATTTGGAGGCGGAGTGTGTTTTGCGTTGTTGTTTTAGAAGAGATGGTGGGGGGTGCCCGCATTGTCCCTGGTTGGTTCCCAGTCGCTTGGGGGAGGGGGTGTTTATCAATCGGGAACAGTGATTAAGACACCCTCGTAGATAGCAAGCCGTCTAGCACATCCCCCACCCGCCCTCCCAACACATGAGTATCACCTGAGTCTGTTTGGATGGACACGTATTGAAAACCAAAAACGAGCCCATATGCGCGACGTTGGGGCGAGGTGCGCCACGCGAGCCAGGCGCGCCACGCGCGCCAGGCACCTTTGGGGCCCGAGCGTGCCAGGCACGCCTGGTGCGCCAGATGCGCCACGTCTCTCCGCGTGTGCCAGGCGTGCCGCATACTCCAGCCGCTCCAGGAGCGCCACGTTCGGGGCACGTGCAGTGTGCGTCAAGTGCGCCTGCGCACGTGACAGCACGCATCGGGAAGCATGTCGGCCCCCACCATCCATTTGAAACGAATGCCCATCATTGTGCTTGGTAGGCCTGCGCACAGCAGGCCATGCGCCACCACTTGTCTATGATCGCGGGTTGGCCGCGCACGATCCAGATTTAGCCGCGAGGTGCATGTTGAATCGCTTCGCGCATTCCGCATGCCCATATTGCCTCGTCGCTGTCGTTTGTCGGGGTGTTGTTGTTGTCAATGCGGGGACATTGGGCGGCTGCCATTTTTCGGAGGCGGTGGGTGGCGGGTCAGAGGCCTCACGGATGTTGGTTGGGTTCTCGCGGTTGGCTTCTCAAGGACTTTTGGGAGACAGTTTTGAGGCCTCTTGGGGGCCGTGTTGCGGCCTCTTGGGGCCTCTTGGGGGCCATTTGGGGCTTCTTGGGGTGCCTCTTGGGGGCCCCTTGTGGCCTCTTGGGGGCCTCTTGGTGCCTCCAGGGGGCCTCTTGGGGCTGAAGGATGGACTTTGCGGTTTCTGGTCACCTTCTTGGGCCCCTCTTGGGGCCGTTTGGGGGTTCCCTTGGGCCGACTTGGGCGCCTCTCGGGCTGTCTTGGGGCCATCTTGGGGCGTCTTGGGGCTGTCTTGGGGTCCTCTTGCACCCTCTTGGGGCCATCTGCGGAGCCTCTTGGGCTATCTTGGAGCGTCGGGAAGCCGAAAAAGGAGAAACCCCAAGATGTTTTCAAAATTTTAGGGGAAATTAATGAATTTTGCCTCTTGGGGCCCTCTTGGGAGTGCTTTTGTAGGCCTCTGGGCGCGTCTGGAGGCCATGGTGGGCGTCTTCGAGCAATCTTGAGGCATCATCGGCCGATCTTTCGAGGACTCCGAGGGCTCTTGGACCGTCTGGGCGCTCTCTTGAGGCCGTCTTGGGCGCCTCTTGGGCTGTCTGGGTGGCCTCCGGCATCTCTGGCAGGCATTTGCCGGGACTTTTGCGGGGTATTTTTCGCGTCGGAGCCCCCAGGGGCCGCCTCACGCGCGCGAACTTGTTATAGCGTTAATTTGTTACCGGAGATTTTAGCACGCCTCTGGCCCATAGGGCCGGCAAACTGTTTTTGTGTCAAGGAGAGTAGCCCAGCGCGCAGCAGGCAATATGCTGACACTCCCGCCGTCCCTGGCCAAAAATAAGACAAAGTGCTCGCGGGCCTCACGAACATGTCTTCAGATGTTGCCCCAAAGTGTACTTCGTATTGTTTTTGACAGGGATGATGGGGGGGGCCCTCATGGGGTCTTCATTGTTCCTGGTTCGCTGCCGGTCACCTGGGGGAGGGGGTGTGTACGAATTGGGAACAATGATAAACCTTTCTTCGTAGGGAAAGAGGTTGGAAGAATTAATGTTCGAAACCACTTGCGCCAAAGAGCTGGTGGGACTTCCCAAACCCTTCCTCAGTCGTCCTCCTTCCCCTTCTCCTCCTGGTCCTCCTCCGTGCTCCTTCCTCTTCCCGCCGTCACTTCCCCCTTGGACGAATATCGCTGTCCCTATTTCGGCTGCCATTAGGATCCATGCCTGTTCACGCTACTGTGACAGCAACACCACCTGGACGTCCGAGGAGTCAGCCACATTCGACGAGGTGCCGCATCAGGGGGGGAGGGAGGACGAGAAGGAGGATGTGGTTGAGGCACACCTGCTTCAGGTTCGTTGCGTCTCGTGGCTGGTGCTGCTAGATGTCGCAGGACTTAGTATTTCAGATGGCTTGAGCCTCACTGGGCTCTGGGCGTTTCGCGGCTTGGAAAGACCCCAACGGTTCTAAGTGGTTTCCGGAGGCTTCCAGCAGGAGGAGAGAGTTGGTGGAAGAGGAGGAGGATGTGTTTCCGATGCCGCCATGTTGAAAACGTTGTGTCGTGTTTACCGTGCTTTCGATGGAGCGGAAGCGTTTTAGTGTGTGTCCGATGCCCCTTGTCAGAAGCGAATTGATGTTTACTTTGCGTCAAAAGCCGCCCTATTGGAAACGCAGGATGGCGCAACATCGGAGCCCATGCGTTTCCCCAGTGATTCAGACGCCGCCCGATCGGGAACAGTGTGGTTGTTTATTATGCCTCCAATAGTGCCATATTATCGGAGACGCGATGCTGTCTGCTCTTGTGAGATCCCGACAGGGCAATGTCGGAGACGTCGTGTCGTTCCTTTGGGATAGTGCCTTGTCGGGAACGCTATGTGTTGATTGCGTATCCGATGATGCAGTGTTGGATGCGATGTATTAGTTGTGCGGTTCCGATGGCGCCCTATTGGAAACGCTGTCCGCTCTCTGTGTTTCCGATTGCGCCCTGTATCGCGTGTCCGATGACCCCCAGTCGGAAACGCAACTTGTTTCATTGCGTGCCCGATGGCGACCGATAGGAATTCATAGGAAGCACTATGGATTGAATAGGTGTCCGATGTCGCCCTATCGGGAGCGCGATGTGCTCTGTTGTTGTGGGATCCAGTGGCACCCTATCGGGGACGCCGTGCGTTATGTCCAGATTGGTCACCCATCAGAAACACAGTGTTTGATGTTGCTTCCGATGGCGCAATATTGAAAATGAATGTGATACCTCTGATTCCGATGGCGCCCTAGAGGATACACTGTGTGGTTGACCTGCTTCCGATTAGGTCACATCGGAAACAGTGGGTGGTCGTTTGATTCATATGGCCCCTTGCCCGAACCAATTTCGCAGTGTATTTCCGATAGTGGTTTTGGGAAGCGCAATGCTTAGATTGTCCATTCTGGTGTAGCAACATCGTGACCGTAGTGTTTTATTGGTTTTCCATTGGCCCCTAGTCGGAAGTACGGTTGTGTGATTGCGTCTCCGATGGCACGATCTAGAAAAACGAGTTGGTTTGACAATGTGTCCGATGTTGCTTACCTGGAACGATGAGTTCGTTTGCGAGATCACAATGGCGCACCATCGGGCGCCCCCTTTTTTTTGTCTCGGAGCGTGTCCTATCGGAAACAGTGTGTGTTTGCTTGTGTCCCCAACCGCGCACGATTGGAAACGCAGTGTTTCCATTATGCTTCCAATGGCGCCACATGGGAGATGCAATGTTCTCGTTGTGCTGCCGATGGCGCCCATTTGGAAATGATGGTGCTTATCATGTGTCCGACGGGGCCGTGCTGGGGACGCTGTTGTTTGGTAGTGGTGCCATGGGCCCTGTTCCGAGATTTTTTGTGTGGAGCTCCCAGGTTGGCCGAGATGGTGCCCAAGAGTGATGCGCGTGCCGTGTTTTACAAAAGACATGGGTGTTCGCTGTTGTTTGCGCGCTTTGCTTCCGAAACGTTTTTGCTCCCATGTTGAAATGAGCATTGCCTCCGCGACCTTCATTCCTCCTCCTTCCCGCCCCCCTCCTCGTCATGCCTGGCTTGCAGCGGCGTCCAAATGGATACCGCTGTGCCGCGGCCAGGAGTGGGGATTTCTTCGCAGCCACACCCAGGGCGTGCTGCCGCCGAAGTCTGGTCCGCGAGGACCCACAGTTTTGCGCCCGCGAGGGCTCTCTCCAGCAGTGCATGGCGGCCGATGAGGAGCGGCGCAGGGCGGGTCGCGCTGGTGGCGGCCATCGTGGCCCTGGTGCTGCTGACGGCCGGAGGCGCCGCGACAAGGGCAAGGAGCAGCCTCCAGCCGAGGACCTGCGCTCGGCCTCCCGCAGCACGAACGAGCGTGCCCCTGCGCGCCGTCGGGCTCGGCGGGGCCACCCGCGCTCCGACGGCGAGGCGGATGCCTCGGGCTCGCAGGCCAGTGATCGAGAGCGCCCTGGACTTGGAGGACTCGATCGCGCCGCCCTGGACGAGCTCGTGGCTGCCCTCGAGGCGGCGGCCACCTTCCCCTCGCAGGAGCGCCAGGCCATGCAAGTGGAACAAGCGCCCGCTGACACCCAGCAAGATGGACCTCAACATGCTCCTCATGACCCGTGGCAACGACCTGGCGGGGACCCTTGGCATGATCGCGCCGCCCCCGCTGCTGGACACACTGAACCACCTGCGGCTGGCACTCCTGTCGGTGGGATGGCCACTCCTGTGGACGCTGGCGGCATGGACATGCAGGCCATGCTGCAGAGCTGCATTCGCCAGGCCACCGACGCCATCGCCGCGACCTCCATGGCCCAGGTCACCTCCTGCCAGACGCAGCTGGTGCGCATGTTCCAGACCCAGCAGGAGGCAGTCAACAGGTCCCTCGCCGTGCAGACGCGCGACATCGCCTCCATCGGCCAGCGCGCCGACGCGCTGGAGGCGGAGCAGGCCGCCATGCGCAAGCAGATCGGGGACATCAACAAGGCCCTGGCCCTCGCCGAGAAGGAGTTGCCCATCATGGACTTTCAGGAGCTGGAGGCGTGGTCTCGTCAACCCAACCCGCGGATCTTCTCGATTGGGGCGCCGCAGCTGGTCGGACCCGCCCAAGCTCTTCAAGGTTTGGAGGAGTGGATTCGCGCGGCTGGCCTCACTCACGACATGGTCCGCATCGACCCTGCGGTCCCCTCCAAGCGCTTCAACGTCTTGGTACAGGGCGGCGACGGTGTCGCTCTCCCTCGGGCCCAAGCACTCGCAAGGCATCTACGTGACCCAGCTGGCAGGAATGGGTGGCGCTCCTTCAACGCGCAGAGCGTCGGCGGAGGCGTCGTCCCGCTGTACATCTCGCCTGGCAAGTCACCGCAGCAAGTACGGATGGAGATCCAATCGAGGAAGCTCTCGGTTTTGCTGGCAGAAGCTCTTCCTGATCAGTCTTTCAGTGCTCAGCGGGCCCGTGGCATCGTCACCTCTCAGGGCGTCAAGGTTGCCAAGCTCGAGATGGGAGAATCCCGCTTCACCGACACTATCATCAGGTGGAACCCAGACATGGTCGCCAGGCTGCACATCGACAGGGAGTCCATCAACACGCAGTTCAAGAAGGCCTTCTCCACGGAGGACAACACCGAGTGGATTTAGCAGCCCACTGTGGGCGCCATGGCGTCCTCCTGGTGCACGGCATGGCTTCCGTGGACTTCACCTGGTCGTGTGGAATGCCCGTGGCCTGCTCCGCTCGGACGCGAGGCTGCGCAGACGCAAGTTGGCACTGCTCGTCACATACATGAAGGTCAACGCCATCATCGCCGTGCAGGAGGTCCACGGCTCCGAGGACGCCCTCAGGATTTTTCTCCAGTCGCAGCCGCAGAAGTACTTGAGCTTCCTTTCGCCCGGCCCTTCCGCCGCCGTGGGCGGAGTCGCCTTTCTCGCCCCACGATGCGTCGACGAAAGTCCAAGGGCGGATGGACCCAGAGCCGAATCTCTGGGAGTCGGGGGCGAGGCGAGGCGTGTAAGTCCTCCTGAGCGCTTCTCGCCCCCTTCTGCATCCTTACTGACTCAAGACACCTGGTCAAGTTCGCGAACCTCCTCTTCTCCTACGACAGCAAGTTGCTCCGACACCTGGTCAAGTACACGACGTTCTCCCACGACATCCACGTCACTACCGAACAACACCTGGTCAAGTTCACGAAACTCCACACCTGCTCTGCCGACCTATCGCTTCGACATTGGCGGCCGGCCGCGCGGCGCTCCTCACGATCACCGACTGCACGGGCAAGTACAGCATGCAGATCTTCAACATTCACAACTACGACCTCAAGCCGCACGAGTTCTCTGCAGTACAGCGCACCTGGTCCAGTGGCCTGGCGCGGGCGCGTCGCGACTCGTTACACCGCATCTTCCTGGGAGTCGGTGACTTCAACATAGCTGCCCGCCCGCCAGTCAGTCAACGAGCACCCACAGACACCACTGCTTGGCGCCTCCGACCTGATCACCGTTGCCAACTTCGGCAACCTGCGTGGCGCCGTCTATTCGCTGCAGCTATGGAGGTTGAGTCTCAGTGGCCGACCCACTACGACAAGTCCTGCAAGCAGCTGTCCACGATCGACCGAATCTTCTTGGGCATCGACGCGCATGCCATGCTCTCCGTCTCGACGATCCTTACCACTGCGAGGGACGCGATGGAGCTTTCCGAGGAGGGCATCAGCGACCACGCGCCCCTCGTCCTGCAGATCACTGCCGCACGCCATGTCCCACGAGACGAGCAGCCAATCCCGACGCACCTCTTCAACCACAGGAAGTACCTTGAGACCTACACGCTCATGCTGGACCACTGCGCCCTGGCTGGGGAAACGGCGGAAGGCCGTTGGAGAGCAGCGAAGCAGTGCATGAAACTTGCAGCGCGACGCGTTCGTGATGACCAGCTGCGGACCAATTTCTCCCTACACGTCAAGGACTCCATGGCTGAGACCTCGTACATGGGCTTCAAGTCGGCGGCGCGTGCAGTCTGGCGACAGGACGCTGTCCTGGCAGGTAGGCCCCTCGAGTCCTGCCCTGCGCTGGCCGCCCACCTCCACGTTACCGACGGCACCGTGCACCTTGTGGACCCCCACAGCTTCGCCACCAACTTCGACGCCATCGCCGAGCGGGTGCACTCCCTGCGCAGACAGGCGGCGGAGGCAGCAGCTCGGACGGCCAACGTGCGCGACAGCGCAGCCTGGCGGAGGGTTGAACGCAAGGCCGCCAGGCATGCGCAGCTTTGGGTCCCGTGGCGGCGACGTATGATCCTTTCGGGCTTGCGCGTGGATTCCGCACCGCGTGCTGCCAAGGACTCGAAGGTGGCTCAGCACGTGGTCTCTGACCCCGCGGGCATGAAGGCGACTGTGGCGAACTACTGGGGTGAGATCTTCGCGAAGGTGCCGAATTCTGAACAGCTCAAGGCATTGGACGCCTTCCTGGACAAGCACGCACCAAGGAACCCTGCGGTGGAACTACCTCAACCTGCTCTACATGACTTGGAACGTGCGGCCAGAAGGGCCCCGCCGAGTGCTGCGGGACCAGATCAGCTGACGTACGCAGCGTGGCGCCGCAGCCCTGGTGCCTTGCAGCATCTCCAGGGACTCATGGAAGTCCTCTTCAACGACGGCGTGGCCCCGCTCGACCTCAACTGGTCGATCTTCATCTGCGTGCCGAAGGGCACGGAGGAAGACGACGTCCCCGACTCCTGCACGCGCACGGCCTCCACGGTGCGCACCCTCTCTCTGAAGAACTGCGACGCCAAGCTGATAGCGGCCTGCGCAGATCGCGGGCTCCAGCCCATCGCCACATCATCTACTTCACCCGAGCAGAAAGGCTTCACTGCTGAGCGGCGCTTCGTCGACCACATCCCGTACTTGGACGCGGAATGCCGTCGGGAGGGCCTTCTTCCTGACGCGGCGACCCGCCGCCCCATGTTCCTGTCCTTCGACTTCCGTCAGGCCTTCCCCTCACTCTTCAGGGAAGTCATCGAGAAGATCCTCCCGCGCTTCGGGGTCCCGCTGGGCTTCCGCAACGTGGTCGCGGCGCTCTACAGCAACTGCCTCGCCTTCAGCTCCTTCCGCGCCGAGGGCACCTGTGCGGAGCTCGAGCCGCTGTTCGCGCTCCTGTGCGGCATCATGCAAGGATGCCCGCTCTCTGGCACGGTCTGGCGCTTGGCCATGGATGCGCCCATCCGCGCGCTACTGGCTGCGATTGCTGAGCATGGGTTCCTCACGGCTTGCGCCGACGATCTCGGGATGCTGATCAAGAACGCTGTTGCCCTCCCTAGCATCGACTACACCTTCGTCTCCATAGAGCTTGCCTTCAACCTGCAGCTGGCGCTGCACAAGTGCGTGCTGGTCCCGCTGTGGGAGGAGCTCTCGGAGGACACACTGCTGAACGTTAAGTCTTTCCTCGCTAAGGAGGTCCCCCGCTGGCTGGGCTTCCGCGTCGACTCCACGGCCAAGTACCTGGGGACTCACCTGGGTCCAGGCGTCACGGACTTCGGCATCTGGAAGGCTGCTGCGGGGAAATGGTGGACCCGCTGCTGGGAGCTGGCGCGCACCGGCATGGCCACCAGCCTTGCGGCCCGCGCGTACAACATCAACGCGCTTCCGTGCCTGTCGTACCTCGCGCAGTTCTACTTCATCGTGCCGGCCATCTGGAAGGTCGAGTTCACCTCCATGCACCGCCTGCTGCGGCTGCCGCCCTCGTCCATGCGCAAGGCTGACATCCTGTCGATGAGCGCGTGGTGCGGCTCCCCGTCGCCGATTGGCCTCTTCCCATACACGCTCGCGGCGATGATGCGCTCGGCGGAGAACACGGTCCGCGGATGGGAAGCCCACCTTCACCACCTTCATGAAGCTGCCGTGGAACATGTCCCACTGATTGACGTGATCAAGGGCAACTGGTCGCCGCCGTGGTGGCGGACGCGGAGGGCGATCGTTCAGAACTACGCCATGATCACGGACGCTTACGGCCAGCTGGACATACCCAGACCGACGCTCGACGTGCTCACGGTCCCGATCCCGAGCAGGTACCTGAAGATCGCGAAGTCGGCGATGACCCTGGAGACGACGACGGCGGCAGCGGCCACCCCCACCAGGAAGCCCAAGCGCCAGGCCACGGCCGCCGCTTCGCTCCGTGGCTCGCTGTACCCCGAGGACCTGGTGGCCACCATCCACCGGCGGCTGCGCAGGTGGGGAGTCGAGTGATCGCTGCCCGAGCTGCGCGAGAGGTGGCCTCCGCTGCGTAGCAAGCTGACGGAGGTCCGCCCTGCTTGGATGTGGTCGTGGATCCGCACCGCGGTCAACGGCTGGACGACATCTCGTCGCATGAGCGCCGTCATCGACGCGCGTCATTGCCTCTTCGGCTGCGACGAGGAGGACGCGCTCGAGCACTACGTCGTCTGCCCGATCCTCAGGGCGATGACTGCGGGCGACGCTGGAGCGGACTCCCTGGGCAACGGCGCCGAGCTCCTCGGCCTCGGCGACGAGCAGTACCACGCAAAGAGACCCATCACGGATTGCATCTACGCGGTCGGCCTCATGTGCCAGTGCTACCACATCCAGAAGCACCGCATGGACGTGGGCCTGGACGCTGGAGCTGACCAACGGGCTGGTGTGAGACTGGCCGCTCTGCACCGCATGCAAGCATAGGCGAGGCTGCAGATCGAACTGCTCGCCGAGCTTCGTGCCCTCCTCGTCATGCCTCACCGTAATGTGTAATGTCCAGGGGTTCGTTGGGGGGGGGCTGCGGAGTGTGAGATTGTCGCCACGTTCACGGGTTGCTGGGAGGGCCAGCATAATGGTACCGAGCGCAGGCTCAGATTAGACCTAGCCATCTTTGGGGGGGGGCTGCGACAGGCGAAAATGTCGCCCCTTTCGAGGGCTGCTGGGAGGGCCAGCATAGTGGGTACCAGAGAAGACTCAGATCAGACCATCCCTGGGGGGCTGCGCTCTGCGAAAATGCCACCACTTTCGAGGGTTGATGGGAGGGCCAGCATACATGGGACCGAGCGCAGATTCTGATTAGACCTCGCCATCCCTGGCTGGGGGCCTGCGCTCTGCAAAACTGTCGCCACTCTTGGGAGCTGCTGGGAGGGGCAGCATAAGTGGTGCCGAGCGCAGACTCAGTTTTGAACTCGCCTTCCCCAGGGGGGACTGCGCTCTGTGCGCCGCCACTTTCGAGGACTGCTGAGAGGGCCAGCATAGTGGCTACCAGGCGCAGGCACTGATTAGACCTCGCCTTCCCTGGGGGGACTGCGCTCTGCGAGTCGCCACTTTCGAGGACTGCTGCGAGGGCCAGAACAGTGGCTACCAGGCGCAGACACCCTTTGATCTCGCCATCCACGGGGGTGGGCTGCGCTCTGCGAAGAAGTTGCCACTTTCGACGGTTGCTTGAAGGCCATCATAGTCGGAACCGAGCGCAGAGTCAGATTAGACCTCGGCATAGTTGGGAAGTTGCGATCTGCGAAGCAAACGCCATTTTCGAGGGTTGTTGGAGGGCCAGCGTAGTGGGTACCAAACGCAGACTCAAAGTAGACCTCGCCATCCTTGGGGGGGACTGCGAATTGCGAAACTGTCCCCACTTTGGAAGGCTGCTGGGAGGGCCAGCATAGTGGTTACCAGGCGCAGACTCAGACTAGACATCGCCATCCTGGGGGGGCTACGCTCTGCAAGCATGTTGCCATGTTCGGCGGCTGCTGGGAGGGACAGCATAGTGGGCACCGAGCGCAGACTCAAGTTAGATCTCGCACCCCCTCTGGGGGGCTGCGCTCTGCGAAACGATTGCCACGTTCGAGGGCTGCTGGGAGGGGCAGCAGAATAGGTTGCGAGCGCAGATTCTGACTAGACCTCGCCATCCCTAGGAGGGGGCTGCGCTCTGCGAAACCGTCGCCGTTTTCGGCGGCTGCTGGGTGGGGAGGGCCAGGGGAGTGACGCCTTACCGCAGACTCAGATTAGATCTCGTCATCCCTGGGGTGGCTGCATTCCGCGAATCTGTCGCCACTTTCGAGGGCTGCTGGGTGGCCTAGCACAACGGCGCCGCACCCATGCATGACGGAGCTATCATCGACGCGGGGTTCAAGCAAGGACGATAACAACTTGGACAGCCTGTGGTTGCATATCTGTGTGATGCCCTCCAGGGCCACGAAGGCCGACCATCCCGATGATCTGGGACCCGGTCCTGCAGTGCCTTTTGTCGCGGGCCGCCCGCGGACCTCGCGGCGCGCTTGCGCGCTTTTACCTTCCGCGCTGAAAAAGTCGTGAAGAGGACGGACACTTGGCAGTGCTGCTCGGCCTCGCGCAGTTCTTGCACTGGTTGTAGCTGATTTGTAGCACGCCTCGATACATCGTCCCTTTCCTTCTTCTGAGCCCTCGCCCTCTTCCCTTTCGAGCCAGGGACATATCGAAGTTTCTCCATCAAACGGATCGGCGCCTCGCGAGTAGCACAGCTCGCGAGATTCCCCGGCATGGTTCGCAAAAGTTTCAATGTTTTGCCACGTTGTCATCCCGAATCGAGTATCCCAGTGGCTCGCAGTCCATCCCGCCGCCGCGTTTGGGTTGTAGGCGAAAATCTCGTGAGAGAATTCCTTATGTTTGTGGTGGCATACTGGGCTGTCGTCTTGAAGCCCTCTAGGACGGTCGTCGGCATCTCTTGTGGGTTCCTTGGGCCGTGTGGAGGCGATCTAAAGGGGCATTTGGGTGGTCGTGGACACGGTGACGACCAAAAGAAGAACGTCTTGTTAACTATGTACGCTTTCTTTTAGGATGGTCAATGAGTTCGGCGTTCCCCAACCATCCTGTGGCGCCGGGTCCTCGTTTTGAATCGACACCGTCCCGCGTCTCCCCCTCTCCTTGTTCATCCTTCATCCTTTCTCCTCCCATTTCCTGCCGCCCCCCATCCGTGCCTATGCCCTCATTCGGCACACCCCTCACACGCTTCGTGGCCCCATAGGGAACTCCACCAAAGGCCTCAGTGGCAGCGCCCGCATACAGTTCCACCCCCCTTTCGCTGCACCCCTCATAATGATAGGCTGCGAACCCCGCAAACGTGTTCGCACAACCTCACATCACGAAAACTTGTTTGGTTTTCGCGATGCGAGCACTGAGTTTAAATCCCACCCCAGCGTGCATCCTCCAGCACCAATTGATTCTGAACCAGATCTGGATCACACCAGGCATACAATGTGTCACTGACCATTTTTGCATATTCGCCTGTTCCAAGAGGCATACCGTGACAGACGCAGATTGCTTTTTGGCAAAATTTTCATCGCACAGAGGATAATCGGTTCATTTCGCGGGTAAAAAATCGTTGCCCCATAGGGAACTCCACCGAAGGCCCCCAATGGCAGCGCCCACATGCGGTTCCATTTTCCATGTCGGCACACCACTCACACGTTTCGTGGCCCCACAGGGAACTCCACCGAAGTCCCCAGCGGCAGCGACAGCAAGCAGTTCCACCCCCATTTCGGCACACCCCTTAAACGTTTCATGGTCTCGATGGGAGCCCCACCGAAGGCCCCAATGGCATCGCCCGCGCAGTTCCACCCTCCTTGTCGGCACACCCTTCACACGTGTCGTGGCCCCAGGTGGAGCTCCACCGAAGGCCTCACTGGCAGCGCCCATATGCCGTACCCCCATGTCGGTGCACCCCACACACGTTTCGTGGCCACAGAGGGAGCAGCACCGAAGGCCCCAGTGGCAGCGCCTGCATGCAGTTCCACCCCCGTGGCTCCATAGGGAGATCCACCGAAGGCCCTGTGGCAGCGCCAGCGTAGAGTTCCACCCCCATGTCGGTGCACCTTTCACACGCTTCGTGGCCCCATGGGGAGCTCCACCGAAGGCCCCAGTGGCAGCGCCTGCATGCAGTCCCACCCCCAGGTCGGCACACCCGTCACACGTTTCGCGCCCGCCATGTCGACGCACCGTTCACACGGTTCGTGGCCCCATATGGGAGCCCCACCGAAGGCTTCATTGACAGCGCCCACATGTTGTTCCACCTTGCAGTTTGGCACATGTCGTACACGTGTTGTGGAACCATAGGGAGGTCCACCGAAGGCCCCATTGGCAGCGCCCGCATGCAGTTCGCCCCCATGTCCGCCCACCTTTTACACGTTTCGTGGCCTCCTGGGGCGTTCCACATAAGGCCCCAGTGGCAGCGCCCGCACGCAGTTCCACCCTCCGGTTCGGCACACCCTTCGCATGTGCCGTGGCTTCATAGGAGCTCCACCGAAGACCCCAGTGGCCACCCACATGCAGTTCCACCCCCATTTCGGCACACCGTTTACACGCTTCGTGGCCTTATAGGGAGTTCCACTAAAGGCCCCAGTGGATGCGCCCGCATGCAGTTCCACCCCTATGGTCCCATAGGGAGCTCTACCCAAGGCCCCAGCGGCAGCGCCAATATCAGTGCATCCCTCGGACGCTTCACGACCCCATAGGGAGCTCCACCGAAGGCCCCAGTGGCAAGCCCCGCACGTGGTTCCACCCTCCATGTCGATCCCCCTCACACGTTCCGTGGCCCGATAAGGCTATGCATTAGGGAGCTCCACCTAAGGCTCCAGGGACAGCGCCCGCATGCGGTCCCACTCGCTATGTCGGCACACTTCGCACACGCTCCGTGGCCCCATAGGGGGGCTCCACCGAAGGCCACAGTAGCCCTTGTTGCTGGCCCCCCTCCGATGTGTTCCCCCCGCGATGCTCGAAGGTCTCACTGCACCCGCCAGATTTCAGCACACAGCTTGCGCGCTCCGTGGCCCCATAAGGAGATCCACCGAAGATGGTCACGACAACGGCACTCACAACTGCATATGGTTGGGCCCTCCGCCAGGCGAATGTTGACTTCTTCGGAGCGCTCGCGGGAGCCTCTGGAGGACATGTTTGGGGCATGTTCGGGGGCATCTGCGGAGCCTCTTGGGGGACTTCTGGGATTTCCTGGAGGCCTCTTGGGGGCGTCTTGGGGCCTCTTGGGCGTCTCTTGGGGGCCTCTATGGGCCTTCCGAGGAGTTCCTGGTGGCCGAAAGATCTGAATATCCCTTCGGGTCCCCCGTCTAGGCCCCTTCTTGGAGCCGTCTTGGGGGGGGCTTGGGCCGTCTTGGAGACGTCTTGGGCCGTCTTGACGGTTCTGGGGGCCATTATGATGCCCTTTTGGAGGCCTTTTGGGCCGTCCTGTGGCGGTCTTAAGATTTTCTTGGGCCGTATTGGAGCGTCGGGAAGCCGAAAAGGCGAGAACGCAAAAATCTGCCAAACAATTGTTTTAACCTTTCCCCCGCAAAAAGCAAAAAAAGTGTGTGCTTTGCCTCTACAAGAAATATCCACGCATTTCGCCTCTTGGGGCCTTCTTGGGAGGCCTCTTGGGGCGTCGTGGGGGCATCTGCGGCCGTCTGGAGGCCATCTTGGGCGTCTTGGACCGATCGTTCTTCGACTCGGGACCGTATTCGACCGTCTTCGGGGCCCTTTTGGAGTCCTCTTGGCCCGTTTCGGGGCTCCCTTGGCGTCCCGAAAGCCCAGGCGACACACCCCAAGAGGGCGCAGTGGCGCCCGGGAGCGCCTGGGAAACCAGGGGTCCAGGCCTTTCAAGAACCACAAGCCCTCTACCTCGCAGAGCTGCATGAGCCTTGGGGCACTCCACGACGTGCCAAAAGCACGGCGGCGGA